TTCCTGGCAATCCGTCTGTGTGATGTTGGTGCTCTAATATTATACAGAGTCATATAATTGATCTGACAATCCATGTGTGCCTTTCAGTGTACACCGCTGGCAGACGGATCACATGTTCTTCTTCAAGGCAATGGAATTAATTAACTGAGTGTTATCGGTCATATAATCACTAACCCTATTTCTAGCACCAAAAACTAATGGAGGATGATGTGACACCATTAAGTGTTACTTAACAGTTATATAACAGTTATATATGTCTTCAAATGAATATATATATATATATATATATATATATATATACAGTATATGATGAGAAATTTTAGAAATGAACCCTCTGAACCCCCCAATTACACCGATGGGTTTGAAAGAGACATTATCTTTAAAAAAAAAAATAAAAAAAATCTCAAACTGTAAAAACAGACAGAATTGTAAGACAGTCAAATTTAACCTCTTAAGACCTGAACACTTGTTCGATATGCATTTTTTATTTCTCTTTGCTATTTGGGCCGAGCAAATAGCAAAGAGAAAGTAAAGATTTTAAAAAGTCTGAAGAAAATAAATAAATATATGCATAAAATGCAAAACATTGTAAATAACTAATTAACAATACCAAAACAATAAAAATAATAAAAATTTTTAAAATAATGAAAAAAAATTAACTACATGTGGATGCAGGTCTTAAGAGGTTAAAAATTGGCAAAAATAAAACATTGGCTCCAATCTCCTTTTACGTGTACTTTTATACTTGTTGCACTATTTCTTATACTTATATTTATATGTACATTTTTCTGTATAGTATGTGTGTATCTCTATGTGTAAAGCTGCTGACAACAATGTGAATTTCTCCACTGCGAGATAAATAAAGGCTGATCTGATCTTATCTTGTCTTAAAAATGTTTGCACTATGTGATGCAAGTGTGAAGTCATTAATAAATCAGCTGTGATCAATGACAAAAACTCTTTCAGGTGGAGTGGGTTGACTGCAGGCTGTGGTTAAACTATAGATTCACATTGAAAACGTAAGAAGTGAAATATTTACAGTATGTCAAGTTTTTTTTTTTTTCCCTGTACTGGTAACACCTGTGGGCACAAATGGTGTCATGTATATTGATTACCTTTTCTTTTTTTTCTCAAATAATAAATGTAAATATATTTTTTCCCGTTTTATTTTTATTTTATTTTAAAATTTTTTTTGACATAACTTGCTATACTGCACAAAAGACCCTTTTAGGTTCTCTCTCCTTCTAGCCATAGTTTTGATGTTTCTATAGAGGTGTTGTACCTTTACAGTGGAAAATGAGCCCAGAGTGACCAACAATGTGCAGAAGGTTAATACAAATACTCTGAGCTGTCCTACACCTGAACTTTATGAACTTAAACATCAGTAAAACCAGGTCTGCTGCAGGTTTAAGTTCAACCGCAGAAACACTGACCTCTACAGGATTTTAATTTACTTAATTAACTATATATTTGGATCAAGCCACATACAGATATTTATATATGATTAATCCAGGAAAAGATGTCCTTTAAAATGTTTCTTTAACTTTAGATTAGCCAACCTGAATCCATCAGCTGTAGGGGTTTATTCTACCTCACCCTCATAATGTAAGTCATGTCCATGTGCCAATACTATCTTAAGTACATTTACGAGCCACATCAGGTCCCATTATGGTCTGTGCCTATCAGTGAGTTCTTAAAATATCAGATGACATGAAGCAGCACAGTCAGTCTGCTCACTGTGCAGTTAGAAACACATCCATTGCCAGACCAGTGAAACGAGCAGGAGTCCAGGCTGATTAGTTTACTGTAACAACTGGGGGTTGGCGCAGGTGGCGTAATCTAATCTATAATCATTAGGCCTGCTCAGGGAAGTTTAATCTAGCAGCTAAGTGTTTGTGATTTTTCCCATCTGCCTCTTCCTTGTTATCTGCCAAGCAGGTCAAATTAAGCTAATACCACCTGCTACACGCACACAAACAGACACGCACACAGCCGTGTATCCGTGACTTTAGAGGACATTACGTTGACTTACGTTCATTTCCTGAAGACTTACTTTGACCTTACCCAGACCTTCAACTTCGCTTATGAGGACTTGATTTTTGTCCTCATTAGGAAGACACGTCCCAGTAATGTGACCGTGGAAACACATGTAGGTCCTCACAACATCAGTAACACACACACACACACACACTTAAAAAAGTGTGCACATGCCCGTGGCCTGTTAGCGTTTATTAGGCTTCAAGAACTGAAAGTGCAACTAAAGTATTGGAATCCTTCTGATTCCTAAAATTATTTTCCTGACAAATGCGAAATGTGTTCTAGAGAGCCTAAACATGCTGAAAAAGTCACCAAAAACATCTGAACTGGCAAAAAAATAGGATATTTTCAGGGGCATCTGAGTGGCAAAATGGCTTCATAGTACCCCCCCTAGAAAGGTCCTGTTGGAAGAAGTTTCACCTAGACCAGAGGTGTCCAATCCTGGTCCTCCAAGTCCACAATCCTGCATGTTGTAGATGTTTCCCTCTTCCAACACACTTGATTCAAATGATCAGGATCGTTATCAGGCTTCTGCAGAGCTTGATGATGAGCTGATCATTTGAATCAGGTGTGTTGGAAGAAAACATGCAGGATTGTGGCCCTCAAGGACCAGGATTGGACACCCCTGGTCTAGACTTACGAAATTTGGTACGCATCTGTCAGGTTGGACAAAAAGCCCCAGGGAGCCTTAAACCCATCAGGAAGTCCGGTGAGCCATGGCCCGACATGTACGCCGCTTCGACTCGCCATAAAACAGGAAGTGTTGTTTAAGTAGTCTGCACGTTCTCCGATCTGCCTGAAACTTTACATGTTTGATTCCAATCCCGGTCAGAGCATGTTTCCACCACGCCTCGACGTGCACGCCACCCAACGGGTGTACATCAAGAACCCATCCATTGCTGCCTGCAGCTTTAATTTTCTTATTTTTTCTATCCCACTCATACATTCTGTTTGAGGACAATGTACGCAAATAGTTGCTGATTTTTTACCCTCTCTGTTAAAGATTTGACCACTAAAATTCAGGAATTAAATTACGACTATCAATGACAGGATTAGTGTGACATTTCAGGAACTATAGTGCCCTTATTCGGTTTCTTAAATTGGATGTCGTCACCAGTTCCTCTCTTGAATCTGTACACTAAATATGAATTTGATGCGGGGTTAGCTCACCTTTGCATAAAAACGGTTGAACGATTACGTTGAAAAGTAGTCACCGTGGAACAAATCAGAAATGACCTGATATTGAAATTAATGAGTTTTCAACGAGTAGCTCGTCAATACGGCCGGACTAAAAACAGATAACGATGTGTTGCTATAGAACAGACTGGGAGATGCTACGCTAACGAATCATTAAGGTAACGATTGGGTCATAAGTATCAGTGAAACAGAACAGCAATCCCTTCTTCCTACGTCTAATTAACTCTGAAACATCTGGTGACTGACGTGAGCTACTCATTCATTACTAATTACCCTACGAAGCCCAGTTTGTCACATTTTCACTCAGCGTGGACTCATTCTTCACCGCAATATGAACTCCTCTATAGTATCGAGAACATTTGTGCTGCGTGATGAAGTTGTAATGCCATAAATCAGAAAAAAATGAAAGATAATTTCCTTTTAATTATCCTTCCAATTATTTATTTTACTAATTGAAAAAGAAAGAAAGAGAAGGAATCAATATATAATGACGTTATTTCAAGTCCCACGGGTTGTTACCAAAAAAACTGTGATCTGCATGGTGTAAATATTTTACTATTTACATTTTCAGTTTGTTTCCGTACTCGTCTCCTCTCTGCTTTGGAAGTTCCTGAATTTTTGTCATGTGACTGTTGGTCACAGCTGAGTTACTGACGAGCTCCAGAATTTTTGGATTTTACTAAATCTGGTTCAAATGGTTTATTTTTGCCTATTTTTTTTTTAAAAAAAGAGAGATTTGTAGAATAAAGTGATTGAGAAATATTCTGATTTTTATTTAGATTTGGGTCATTTTTCCTGCAGAACACCACAGATGATTCGGGCAGTGAGCATCGTAAAGCAAAGATTTAATTTCTCTGTTTTTGCTAAATGATGTGAATTTCCTTTTAAGACAGCGTGTGTAGATTTTCAGCAGCGCTAAACATGCTGCAGCGAATCAGAAAGCAAACCCGTGAGGGCACATGTATCATAAAGTGAGGCACAGAGCAGGCCGGTGGGAGGCTTATCGCTGAGTCGGGCTCGCTGAAGAATCCTTCAACTATAAATACACTGATTCTAAACGGGGCGCCAGACATAAAAATGAAAGACGGCCTATAAATACAAAAGACAATCAAGTGACCTTTCTCTCCGGCGACAAAGTCTCCGAAGCCGATGGTGGTGAGGGTGATGACAACAAAGTAGATGGACTCCAGCGTGCTCCAGCCTTCGATGTGCTTGAAGATGACCGCCGGCAGCGCCACGAAGATGAGGCACCCGAACAGGATGAAGAGCAGCGTGGAGATGACGCGGATCTTTGTTTGGCTGACTTTCCACTTCTGTGCAAAAGGACAGACGATGATCACAAACAGAAAAAATACAGTTTTAAATTAAACCTGAGAGACAGCAGCTATGAACACTGAGGTTCGGTGTCGTCATGCACCGTGGTGTTGACGTCGCCTTGCTGTCGAGAAGCAACGTGTTGTCCCGTTACAATATTGTTTGCTAATTGCCCCACATTAACATTTCTTCAGCTTCGTCCACAGTTATTCTTGCGGAAGACGAGCATTGAAATTAACTCGACAACAAGCTGCCTTTTTCCTCTGCCTGATTTCCCACAGGCTTCTATTCCTTTTGCTCACTAAACACTGCGGTGACTCACTTCCTTCGACCTCCTTCTAGGAACACATTTGATGTTTTCTAACATCTCAAACGTCAAGCTGCGAAGTTCATGTGACATAACTTTGGCTGTCAGATGGTGTGGCCGCCCAGGCCGGGAGGAGGCGACACGTGACTCGACGGGCCTCACATGTGCTGTGACATCAACGACTTACCCAACGTTTCACATGCAGCGGATATCCCACCGGATTCATTACAGTTACAGCTTGTGCCGGCGGATGTAATAATTTGAATTTCGATGTTTCATCACGGTTACAGTGTGTTACAGTAGCTCCTGCTGCTCTGCGCTGCCTTGAGGTGACTGCTTTCAGCTGGTTCCCGGTGCGTCGTGCCCTTTTCCTTTCCCGTTACGTAAGCCCAAAGCGCTGCGCCTCTGAGGGGAACTATAAAGATCAGGCCGACCCCGGATCACTGTGTCTATGAGGTCTCATGTCCTTGTAAAACCACACGAAGCAGTGGAGCATATAGAGTTTAAAGTGATCCACGGTGAACCCTACAAATCAGCTCAACGCTGAACATCACGGTGAAGCTGAGGTTGTTCTTTTGACCGTACAGCCGTGACTTCAGCTGGAGGAGGTAGCCCTGCATTGTTAAAACACGCTGCAACCTCTGTCTTCGTCCCCGGGGAGGGACGGAGGCAGCAATAAATCAAAACCATAATTAACGTGTTCTCGCCAAGTATCTGGATCTGGAAAAACAGCTTCTGTCAGCGCTTTTATGCCGAAACCAGAGACTGTTAACTGAAATCAGAGACTGTTTTAAGGGCCTTTTATTATCACTTTATCTGACTTTTATCCCAGAGCTGGAATTAGAGAGCAGTTTTCAGCACTATTGGAAAAACGACTGCACTTCTACACAACATTCTATGAAAAGAAGTTCAAGTTAAAAACATTCAGTTATTCTGGGGTCCAAGTGAAGTACATCCCAGCTCTAGATGGAAGGATCTTTGTGCACAACACTTCTGTGGAAATTCCATTGACATAATACTTGTTTAGCAAAAAGGAAGCAAGCGATGAGAAAACAGGTAATCAACAGATCCGTCTAGTCGCACATTGTTGATTCTGAATCTCTGAGGCGTTTCATTTGTATCCCTAAAACGTCTGGGGATGTGTAAGCACTTGGCTGAAGATTGGGATCTACAGTAACACTAAAAAAGTCAATACTGATGTGGTTTTAAAAAAAAAAGCCTGATACAGGTTTTCTGCATCTGTGCACGCGACCATAAAAGAGGGTGTTTGGCTCATCAGTCGCCTCTTCTTCTGCACAAAATGGACTCATTGTGTGCTGCACACTGCAGTCAAAAGGAACAGGTTGTAATGGAGAAAAATCTAATACAGCAAAAAGCACTGCTACTGCCAATAAGACAAGGGAGGAACGCTGGTATAACACTGGTATCTGTGTTTATCTGTGTTACCGCTTGCTGCTCTGATGCAGTATTTCAATGTGACAGCTGCACACTGGAGCCTTTAAACCTTTAAAAAATGGTTTTGTAGAAATGCATTTAAGGCCGACCCTGTCCTGTAATGAAGGACGCATGGAAACGCTTCAGTTTTTGTTCTAATAAAAGAAAAGAAATGAAACCTCATGGTGCAGGAGTGGAAACTCTTTGGCATCTGAAGTCTTTACCGACCTGCACGGAGCGGTTTGTGTTTCCAGGCAACTTTAAATGACTGACCATCAACCAGACCGTTCTGCAAAGTCCATCTACACTCTGCACGTCCTGCGTGTTTGCACGTGTAAACTGTATGTGCTCGTACATGACAGAAGTCGGTGTGTGACTTGCAGGAGGCCTTCCTCCATCACAGGCCCGCCATCTGTGCGTGCTGCCGGTTCGCTCCACAAACAGGGATGATGACAGCAGTCCAGGGAGGCAATGAAAGCACCAGCAGTATTTTCTTTGCTGAATTTGTCTACAATAACTGTAATTTACTGAACTGAGCTTTCAGCACTGAAACAAACTGCATTTTAGATCACTCTTCAGGAGTCTGTTGACATGGCAACCCTTGAAACTGCATCCACGCACAGTTAGGCTGCAGAAGTCGGAGGCAAAACAAACCGTGCACTTGTGAATCTTCGACTATAGCGCTTAGGGCAACAGCTACATAAATATAACTATAGAGCTGCCTTTGCATTGTCAGATGTGACAGTTTTGTCAAGCTGAAGGAGCTTATTGCACACAGGTATGCATCCACGTGCCAGTTCAGCTCGACTTTGTTTGCATCCATCGCAGGCTGCTAACACGTTGCTGTCAATGCTGAACTAAACAGATGTGTTTAGATTTTAGAGACACAATAAATGGAAATCATTGTCATTTAAACCGTGAACATTTCCTTTTTAGTCGTCCTCGACAAAAACAAGCTTACGTAAGTAAAGGCGCTCACCACGATCATCTTTTCTACTTTGGCGATGCCCTTCCCAAAAATGGTCCCCAGCTGGTCACCGACACCAGCCAGCAGGAATCCAAACAGGGGAATTCCCAGCAGAGCGTAGATTATACAGAAGATCCTGCCTCCTTCTGTGTGAGGAGAGATGTTCCCAAATCCTGAGAGAAATGAGACAGGAAATAAAAAACAAAGAAGAGGTGAACATGTACCGTTTAATTTAGGCTGCCAGTATGAATCAGCTGCAACAAAACGACGTAGTGCAGATGTGTGTGTTGGACTAAGCTGCTGTGAGAATGTTGTTTTAAAAGGTGCTAGTGTCGTGTGTTTCGTAGTTGTAAATAAGTGTTATAACTGAATTCAGAAGCCATGATTTTAAACATGTAGCTGCTGCAAATCTGAGAGCTCAACTTTGCCTTTTCCCTTGAAGGTACAAATTATCCTCTACGTGTTTTACCATGTACAACGCGGCATTAAGTTAGTAAAACCAGAGCTATAAAGCGCTGTTCATGCGTTTTGGAGCTTCATTTACCTTTTTGCATAAATCTGGTACCGGACCAGGGTGTAGGATTTATGGAGCTCTTTTTGCAGAAATGGAACATAATCTACATGATTATGTTTTAATCAATGCATCATCCAAAGCCGCTTTTCGCGCGTCTCTGTCATGAGGCAGGTGTGCAGGAGAGACATCCAAAAGTTTCAGTCAGATACATTTCTAAGTGCAGCATTTCAGCGCGAGACCTTCGTCAGGCTACAATTAGCATTGTGCTAGTAAGTGTGTCTTTACAAGTTAGACAGCGTGTGGGAGTCTGACTGAATCCGTTTATTGTCACCTGAAAATAGGGAATTGTGTTTTCATAAATGAGTGTTTCATATCCACAGCGTTCTCTTCCACAAACGCCCGCATGTTGGACAAACTCAGAACTGGGTCTAAAGAGGGAGCTTTGTGTTTTTTCAAGGGGAACTGAGTTGGTTGCAATTTGCAAACTCACTACTGTAGCCTTTGTATGAAAATTCAATTCAATTCAATTTTATTTGTATAGCGCATATTTACAACAACAAGTCATCTCATAGCGCTTAACAAAGGCAGAAACAGAAACACCCAACAATCCAAAACATTTGGATTCCCTATAAGCTTCAGCAGTCCGCAAGCAGTCTGCAACAGTAGGAAGGAACCTCCGACAGAACCAGGCTCAGGGAGGGACGGCCATCTGCCTCGACCGGTTGGGTGGATGTAGGATGAATTATAAAATTTAGTGTACAGTGAAAGTGGACTACCACCTCGATTTTGGAATCAGGCTGTCGACATCTTGGTCTTTTGAAACCAGATGGAATGAGCAGGGGATGGATCCGACTTAGAACTCGAGGACACTATGCACGGCCATACGGTGACCCCGCTCTAACACATAACCTGCTTTATTATCTGTTTTAATTTAAATAGGAGCATAGTTTACAACATAACCATCGTGCTGTATTCAGAAAGTCCTAAAACTAGCAGTAGAGACCACAAACCCCATCAGGAAAATGTTTACTGAGGGAACAAATCAGAGGAGAAGTAGGGTCATTTCCTCATAGACTTCTACACAATCTGACTTCGTTTTGCAAACAGAGGAGGCGCCCCCTACTGGCCATTCTACATCGGCTTCACTTTTTAGATGCTGAGGCTACATCCATCTTTATTAAAAAGTCTATGCTCGAGGTTAGATGCCACGAACACACTGGACCTTTAATTCTAAGTTTGTTGTGGCATGTGTGTGGCTTAGACCCTGAACTACACTCAAGGTGTTGCACAGACACGAATATGCCACCGACACACTGGGCTTCATTACAGTTGCAGGTTTCAGGGGTTATACATGCCGGCGTATTTGCACCATTTTTCTGCAGGAATTTATTTGTATTATTTATATGGATAAATAATTCATATCTTTATTTTCATTTTAGGTTGCACACTGTGTGCCTCTGTCTTATTGCACGGAAAGCCTACCGCCTGCTGCCGTGCTGTGAACGTGGCTGTAGTCGTATCTGGGCTTTGGTTGCTGTGATTTATGACTGCGCCACACTTCATGCGTCTAACATTCATGTACTGCGTTGTGTAGCGTTTTCCTAAACTCCAGTCATATCTAACAGAAGCCCCGCAGGTTCAAAAACTTCATGTGATGTAACACAGAAGACTTTCAGAGGAAACGTCCCCATCATGTCGCTTCAGTATCGGCTCCAAAAAACGAAACTCGCTGCAAGAAAACTTTTCTACAAAGCTCGACTGTGCTGTGATTGCTGATCGGCACACCAGAATAGCTTTGAGAAATAGTGAGAAATAAAGGCTCCGACTCAGATTGGAGTTTATTATTCACGCCCGCTGCTCTCAAACCACTCTGACACGAATGAAGAAGGAAAAAAATTAATCCATACCCTGAGCTGTATGGAGGCCTTTGAATGTACACTTCTTCATACAGTAAAATCAATATGATTCCAGCATAGGCCCGCTGCCTTTCATCTCCCTCTCCAGATGTCTCATTTTCCGCCGCAAGAAAATGAGGTGTTATACAAAAACCTCAGAGCCTCGTGCGTTACATAAACCACGCGTGTTACACCATACAGCCGCCATTTCATTATTTAACGTTTCATAAGGCGTCTACGTAATGAACTTCTCACACTTTTCTTTATTAATGCAGTCATCTGTCTCCGGATACTGGCTGCAGGGGGGCCTTCTAATGACTTTCCAGCCTCACAATGGAGCAGGGTGATATCGCCTAATGTGAGAAAATTGTCAATCAGGTCTCAGCATTTTCACGATTACATCCAATGGGAGACGGGATTTCAACACCTGGGTCGGCCTGCGCGGCAGACGGCAAACTGACGGACGCGCTCTGATTCGAAGCTAAATTCAGCTCTTTCTGATTTAAACACATTAATTCTTGTTTGTATTCTCAGTTTTTGGATTTTATCTCAGCGTCAGACATGAAAAGCAAGTCGAGCTAAGATAAGATGCGTGCGCTGAGACGACTGCGGCGTTCACTTGGGAATTTTTTTCACCTAGTTGTGAATAATCACAGTTAATAATAGACAATTATAGCACTTAACTGTTCTCAGTATTAAAACTGCGCGGGCGGGATTTATTTAAACACGTATGGATTCGAGCTTTCAAGCACTTAGCGGCTCCGTATTGTGCTCGGCTTCGACACTTTCTTCTTACGGGACTCATATCAGAGGTTAAACACCGATTGCTCTCCGGGTCTTTCAGTTAGTTTCACACTTGGCTGTGACATAGCCGGCATGAATAATACATTCACCGTAGGATTTCCGCAGTATGGGCCCCAGACATCTCATTAATGACACTGTCGAGGAGGTTATGCAACGATCATGTGCGAAGACATGTCAGGGTTTGTGCTCTCTCTAGCAGGAACGAAGGCCTGGACAATAAGAGCTTAATGACTTCTTTCTACACTCATTAAACGACGCTCAGAGAGAAACAACAAGTTTAACTGAGTGGCTTCTCAGTTGAACGCACAGTGTGTTGGGTTTGATGTCTCCAACCTTGTCACGGTGGCGTTAAAGTAAGCTGCTAAGGAAACGATGCCCTATTGTTGTCGCTATAGTAATCACACGCAGCGGTTCTGCTTTGGATGGGTTTCACTTTCAGATTCAAGACTACAGAATAAAGAAAATGTGCTTCTTTTGATGGCACCGAAACAACCTCAGAACAGATAAATAATAATCTTCTCTAGAAGCTCCAAGCCGTGAATCATTTGAGATCCGTTAATCCATATTCAGCGGGCATTCGTATTCACCCACTAGTGTAACGGTTGTGGAGACTTAACTAATGAATCCCTCCAGACATAAAAACACTGAAATGAATCATTCCAGATCTTCTCTTACCCCCAGAAGAGGGAGGGAAAATATTTAACAAAGAGTACAGAAGCAGAGTGCAGCACTGTGAGAATCACACCCAAAGGAGGGAAAAAACAATAGATTTCACTTTGCTGAGGAGCTTTTATGGTACCTGAGAGACTTTTTCAGACCTGGAATATGTACCGGCTGGTAAAACGACAGAATTCTGTCATTCAAACGTAAATCACTTTTACATTAATGCACATGCACGACATCAGCGGGAAGAATCAGGTGTGATACAAACCGGACTGGACAGTACCTCTGTTGGTAAAGCGCATAATGCTGCACTCATAAAAAACAGAGTAAATGTAAATCTGCTATATGTCACAAACGATGTAACTGCAGCTCATAAACTGTGACTCAGCTACTTGTAAAGAAAAGGACGTTTACCCTTAGATCCGGATTAATACTGTCNAGGACGTTTACCCTTAGATCCGGATTAATACTGTCGAAAAGTTGCAGATCATTTAAAATTATTTAAACACTGTTGCCTATAAAGTTGGAATAAAATATTTTTCTGCCTCTTCTGTGACAATGGGATTTATTCTTGATGGATAAAGTATATACCTCCTCAGAACTGTATTGATATCACAATATACATACAATATATACCACAGTTTGTGCTTAACACATAGGAGGGGATTTAATCCATTAGAATGTCCAATATTACTCTTTCAAATGTCCCTCAGTCATTAATATTGAGTCTTATTTTTATGGACGTCTCAGTTTGTTGTATGGCAAGGTGAATGTGTTTCATAATTGTGACATGCAGCAGTGTCTTGTGTGCTCTATGTGATGTTTTGGGGATATTAGTGTTGAACAGTAGAAGCTGCCTTCCTCAAATTGCTTCGCACAGCTTCAAATACTCGCTTACGCATGTCCATCTGTCAATACGACAGCATGCGGTTCAGACTCGTGTCGTGCTGAAAGTGACAGAGAAACTTTTTATAGAAAAGTGACCAGTGTGTTCAACCAGACACATTTTCTGAAAGAGGCTTATATCTACCAGAGAAAGATTTTCATTGGAATGATGTGTCCTGATTCTCCAGAGTAGGTAAACCACATGACGGCTGAAAGTCTACAACTTGGTTATGACCATAATGGAGGCAGATAAAGGGGGAAGCTGGGGTACAGCTACCTGCACGACACAACATTCTGTTACAACACAAGCTGCATACTGTCAAATTCTCTAGCTTGCAAAAACATACAGATGAAATGCACATGTCGGCATGCTGCGTATCAGGATCCCATAGTTTTCCCATTCTTCCCTCTCGTCTTATTGTATAAAACCCTGCGCCCCTAAAGGCTCAGTGTTTTGGTTCGGCAGCTTATAAAAGAGTACTTCTGGGTTCTTTGGTAGTGCAGCCCGAGCAGATGAAAGTGACAAAGAGGCACCTCCACGGAATACAAAGTCAATGGAGAGAGCGATGAGTGGCTTTCCCCTCCAGTGTGCTCGGGACTTAATTGCGGTCTGCTTCTATAGATGAAGCCAAGCAGGTAGGAGGGGAGGGGGGCTAGGATTTTCATCAGTAATGTGCATCCAATTAAAGACCTCCACATAGACAAATCAATCCACTGATATGAATTCATGCACAACCAACTCGAGCTGACCTAAACGAAGCCAAGAGAACAGACAAAAAGCTGAGCGAGGGAGTTAATGTCTGGCACGCCTGTATGAGCGCTTCTCATTCAGAGACTTGTGTTTAATAGGCTGGTCTCTGCAAAAAAAAGTCACTTAAAAATAGCAGAACGGCTTTAGAAATAGCTTTTCTAAAAGAAGATTTCGTTGCATAGCAGGATAAAGAACATTTTGTAGCAATCAGGAGAAATTATAAAGATTGCAAAACGGCAGCACGGCAATTTGTGCTTTTTTTTTTAACCAACAAGCATCAAAGGTAATTCACACAAAACACCACCTGAGATTTCCGCAGCGAAATCAAAGCCTGAGCACTCCGCTATTACCAAAAAACACCTTATTTCTTTTCCGAGGAGATTTTTTTTTCATTTCTCTGCACCCAGCCCCGGGGATGTTTTCCAAAAAAAAAAAGTAAACTAAAAAAAAACTGTACCTTCTCTAAATCAAAGCCACAGAGCTCTCCTGCTTCTCTACATCAGCAGTGGAAGGGCCTCAGTTCATTACACCAGAAAACACCTCCGTTTCTCCAAGTCAGGAAACCTAACATTTGTAAAGAGAAACTTCTGCAAATCATTGGAGCGCAGGAGTGCAAAAACAGTCAGCACACTCAATCTTAGGTGAGCAGAGGGAGAACCCACACTGCAACTTTTTTTTGCCTACAAATGCGTACCTGTGACAAAAGCATTTTACCACCAAGGGGAGACGTCCATTTACCGCAATGTGACGCAACTGCGACTTGGAAATGAGCTCCCAGAACCTTGGAGACATGAAGCGAAGCCCAACAGCTCCCCGAGCACACATGCTGATGTGTTAAGACCTGCTTGAACGGCCAGATAAGATTAGACACATGTCTGTAAGTGTGCTGCTGCCAATTTTTTTTTTTTTTTTTGCAATTCTACTGCACTGCACCAAAATCTGGAGGTCTGGAGATGGTGCTGGAGAAGGGTAAGCATTTCAGTATGATGCAGAAACGTTCATCATAATGCGCGTGATGGTTAATAATGTGAAAAATAAGCACATCAGGTCATTAAAGCTCAGGGTGCTACATCTTCTGATTACAGGGTGAACTCTGACAGGGTGCTGGAGATGTGAAATGGCGCCCTACAGCTGATTGAACAGCGATCTGTCAAGGTCCGCTTGGAAGAGCCGGATGAGCTGTTAGACTAGCTGTGTGTGTGTGTGTGTGTGTGTGTGTGTGTGTGTGAGCTGTTCCTCTTTCCTGATTAGTAAGCTCTTACAGCTGGAGGTGACAGAAAGAAAGAGAGAATGGTGTAAAAGAGCTGACAGAAGAGGGAAGCGTGTTAGAGTTTCATCCTATAGCTTACTGACGGAGCTATTGTTAATATTTAATCAGCACATTTGACTTCCGTTGTTGTAGAGTCACGAGATTAGGTTAATTTCAGACGTCAGTACCTAACCCTGGTAGCACTTTTAAACTTGCAAATAAGGCCAAAGATGATTTATTCACAATAATTTTTACTAAATATACAAATTAGACGCAACCAGTTGCTTAAGTCGTATTCGGCAAAGGTTTTGTCTTGGTTGCTTTTGTGTTCTTGATCTGGGATGTACCTTCTTGCAGGTCGAGTCCTAATTTATTGACCTATGATCTCTTGAATTAATGGGTTTTGTTTTGAGGATGATAAATATGACCGATTTTTTTTCACATCTGAAAGTGCTGACAAGTGCAAAGGAGACGTGCAAACTTATGATGCAAATAAGTGGGGCCAATTAATTTTTATCAATTCTGATGACAGTGCAATTGTGGTGCAATGTGACGCACAATCCTGAACAGGAGCCGGCTTTGGCTGAACAGGAGTCATGTTGCTGTGCAAGTTGAATTTCATGCCAAAGTGATTATTGGAATAACACGATGCTCTTGTTAGAGTTGTACAAACAGGACAATGTAAAGGTAGCGTGAAGCCAGAATTGTTCCCACATTTTAAAAGCCGTTTTTCTTTATGTTCTGTTTCACAGTATGGCATGCATCTTATTGTCAGAGGTCTGCACAACTGAGTAAGAAACCTGCTTATCTTACCGATGGTGGTGATAACAGTCCCAGCAAAGAAAAAGGAGGAACTGAGGTCCCAAAGGCTCGTCTGATTGGATAAATTTCCTGACGGGTTCACACCTGCTCGAACTGCTGAAACCACTTGCTGCAGCAGAAGGGAACAAAAAAACACAACAAGTAGCGTATTATTCAGTGTCCCTGAGTGGGAGCGCGGTGCAAGGGTGGCTGAGAAACATACGGAGATAAGTGGCGTACATCAACTTTCCTGGGAAATAGATGACAGCCGAGGAAAACATCCAACCAAAACCAATTAGGAGTTGTGAGAAAAAGATGAGGTGCATCTGTCACTTGCATGAATTGCCTGAGGTTGATGTTATAAATAATTGCAGTCCATACAAAAGAGCAAAGGCTAGTTACATGTGATGAAATTATGGTACTGAAAATTCAGAGCTTTTATAAAGATAAATTGTGCACGCCTTTAATTGATTAGCATCTATGCATCATTAAAATATATCTATAATAACAAGCTGGATGTGACAGAATCTGTTTGGACAAATCATCAAAACATTCACTGCTTTCACAAGCTTAAAAGGTATACGACTATTATTAAACGCCGTAGATAAGAAGCACTTAGTCATTGTGCTGACAATCTTGCGCCGTGCATCCTAACATCCAGATTCGTGTGTTTGCATGAAATATGTTCAGATTTTAACACATTGGGTGCTGCTGACTGTCCTCACCCTGCTGGCAAAATGCATATGGGGTAAACAAGGCCAGATGGAGAACGCTGGCCTGCTATCAGTGCTTTTCTTTTTGCTTGATTATTCATTCCAAAGCCTGCGCGACAACAGAAACGTGTTTGAGCTGTTGCTAGAGGAAGGGAAACAATTCAGAGTGACGCACCGCTCAGCTGCCGTAGTGTCCGGTAGAGTTTATAAAAAATACAGATGACGTCACCCGTTGGTTTGAGCAGTTTGGCATCTGCTGTCATCTTAGTGTTATTGAAACCATGTGTGAGGAGACAGATTTAGATCTGACCGAGAACCAAAGGACCAGGACAGTAGTGACTTGTCACAAGGTAGCGTTGCCTTAAAACACATCCTGCTCTGTCCTCTAATTGACCCTTAATTCATCCATAATTTACAAAACGAACACCATGCTGTGTTGAACAAGTCTCAAACCGAGGAATTGAGACAATAAATTAATTAGGAAAACGTTTACTGTGACAGTAAATCAATTGAGAACTTGACCCACTTTCCCACAGCCTTCTATACAATTGGGCATCTTTTGGAGTCGCCCCCTGCTGGCCTCATAGAAAGAATGCTGGTTCAAGTCATTTCTGCTTCAGCTCCAGACCAGACATCCACCTTTTAAACAGGTTATGGTTGTCCCTAAGCATCTAATATATCCACCAATCAGCCACGGTATTACTTCTGTTTACTGACAGGTCACATGGATAATATTGACCTTCTCGTTATGATGTTCTGCTGGGAAACCTTGGATCCTGCCATTCATGTGGATGTTACTGTGACAAATAACACTCAACCACCCAAACACAGTTGCACCCCCATTCTTTAAGACTAAGAATTGAGTGGTCTCCAGACAAACCAAACTTTTAATATGTCTCCTTGCTTCTTCAACACATTAAAGGCTTTGTACTGAATTACTATTTTTTGCTTATGTTGAATGCTACCATCCTAGTCCAGGTTAATGGGAGCTGCTCTTTCCAAGCAGTAGCCTTCCTGTAGTAACCCCAGAAATGCTATTAGAAACCGCTTAACTCTTGCTTTTATCCTAGAAGCCTTTTGGTCTTATTGTTTGAAAATAGCTCATTTTTGCAATTTTTTGCTCAGTTGTTGTCACGATGAGAATCCCTCATGACCCACGAAGAGTCCGCTACACAGAGTTGTTCAGTTAACCAATATGTGCCGGGCTAGGAAGGCCAGCAAGCCATCAATTGCTCTGAAGCTGCATTAACCTGATCTCACCTGGTCAGCAGGTCTCAGCAGGCCCAGACCAGTGCAACAGGGCAATTTACCGCAGCTAGTGGAAAGTTTTCTTTCGTCGAGAGGCTTCTCAAGATCTCAACAGAATCATTACTGAGACAAATGGAAGAGAAAAGCTCTGCGATGTCAGGGGAGCAGCAGCCACTGCCACAGAATAGATGCTGATAAATTGCAGAGGAGCCGGACTAAAGCGTTTATTCCCCTGTGTATATGTGGGATTTTTCTGTTTCTACAATTCGAGGACCATTAAAAAAAAAAAAAGATCTTGTGTGATGCATCTTATTAAATGTAAGATTTGTATCAGTGGGGAATTGCATGTTTTGAGGATCGCCGTTATTTTTGTATTTAATGGAAGAAACCTCTCAGAACAGAACAGCAATACACAATTATTTCATAAGAATCTGCACATGTGAGCGCACACACAGATTAATTAGTTTATTGCCAAAAACTGCAGTTCCTCAAATGGCCACTTGGGGTTGGCTCCAAAAGTGAGTCAATCCCTATAGACCCGAATGCTAAAATTCCCGACTTTACAGCAGAAATAAACACGTTTACAGCCTGGTGCAAAACTGCTTTTGGTTTCTGGGGCTATTTTGCCTGTTTGTGACAACTGAACTGAGGGTGGAAGTGAATCTAACTTGCCGATTTGAATTGTCTTAAGGCTTAAAGTTGGGCATAATTAAGGGCGTGTCCACTTTAAGTAACGGGCGGGTGGCCTAACAGAACTCGTTTTTGCATTAGCTCGGAGTTAAAGGAGTCAGGGACATGAAAAGTGTTAAGAAAACCTACAGGCGACGTCTCGGAGGGTTTGTTGATTTTTAGATCCAATGGTTGACACAGACATGACGCCACATGAATGCTAATGTTGCTCCGATGTGTAAATAAGCAGCTGTTTGCTAACACGCTAGCCCTATCGAGAGAGTTCTGTCATATATCACCGCTGTGTTTGCACTTGTTGTTGACGAGCAAACGACAACGAGACAGTCTAAAGACGAAATAGATTTTATTACGCTCACAAACGTATTCCGAGGCAAAGTAATCAAACAAGAATGCACAAAGCTGAACCCATCAATAGCTCAGTGTTTTCATCTGCTCCAGCAAGTAAAACAAAGGAGAGGCTTCCAAGATAAAACCTTACGTCCACCGAGCCTCTAAAAAGCCATCGTTTAGCAAATCATGCAATCAGACAGGCTTGGCTCGGGCAGGCCTTTTGTTTCCCAGCCAAGTGTGCTTATTAATTCACTGCTTTGGCGCTCAGCTGAATGCACCGTAAGATAAGACGGGATGATGTGAAAGACCACAGCGGCTCTCTCCAAGCTGAGCCAAGAGAGATTGAATCGTCTGAGCTTTTTTTTGACATCACTCACTTTTTTTAATTACTCCCTTTGAGAGCACATCTCTGCTCAATCCCCCGCTGACTGGCTTTTGATCAGTGGGAGCCTGCAAAGGTGCGTGTATGTGTGTTTGTATACATAATTAAGTCAAAGTGAAGGGGGGACACCTGTGTTGAAGCCGCGTATCAATAAATCATCAGAGGAGGAATAGTTGCTTTAAAGGCTGCTGAACTCATTGCGCTGATGGATGATTGCCAGAGCTGTTGGGCTGAACGTCTCGTAAAACCGCAAAAAAATAAAAAAAAAGGGAGATTTATGTTGAGCCGACGCCGTGGAAACTGCTTCACAATTAGCCTGCTAGCATTAAAGTAAAACATTAAAGGGAGCTTAAATGTCCCTCGAAGGCAAATTGCACCTACGTTGAGATTCTCGAGTCGATAATTAATTCAATTAATTTTCCAGTTTGGTTCTGAAGTCCGCGGCTCTGAAACTCAAACTGTTTGTTATTTTCAGCCGTAATGAGCTCAGTGGAAACGTTAGTTACAGAACGAGTCGTATTTCACCTGAAGACGAGCGTTCAATTGGCTTAAAAGACTCTCGGGGACAGTTTTCCGCTCAGTTAACTAAGAGACGGAAACCTGAGAGGTAGTTATGGAAGGAGGGTCACACGGTACAGGAGACCTAGTTGTTGGCAAAGGTAAGCGGCGTCCTACTGAAGGGAATGTCCCACTTTTGTTTAGCAACAGGTGATGCTCTCTCTGAAAAACTTTGGTCTAATTTCATTTAGCGCACAAAGATTATTCATCAGTTCAGTGTGAATCCCAACATACAGGCTCAGCAGAAGCAAGTCATTTCATTGTCATGTAACTCTAAATTCTGTCACCGTACCATAGTCTGTATAAAAGATGCAACCGGCCCTGAAAAATGAAGCCAACCCGGAAGTGTCAAAAACCTGCAATATCACTACGTCCGCTAGCTGCTGGCTCCAAAAAGCCCTGGCTCCCATAGACTTGAATTGGAAAAGAAGTGATCACAGATTAGTTTTCATGGTCAAATCCAGAGATCAGGTGGCCAATCTGAAAATAAATCAATACTGAATTTTTAAAAAATCGTCAACATTTTGCGGGGCAAGGGGCGTGGCTGGCTTGATTGACAGTCGGCAGCGACCATACAGATGAAGCCAGCAGAAGGCGGTAAATGTGGGCGGGGCAGAGAGGGCCCGCCCCTCAATCCGTCTGACCAATCGCTGCTCCTATGGTTCCGCCCCCCTCCGACGATTTTTGCGTCACTGGCTCCAAAAATCCAAGATGTCAACCAGGAAGTAGCAAAACCCTGGCTTCATTTTGTCAGTGCAGAAACGGGTGACGTCACGGAAGCTACGTCCATCTTTATACAGTCTATGCACCTTACATGAGTTGATTATAAGTTGAGCAGCACTCGTATTAAATCTTCATGTTTTCTTCCACATTAAAAATCCAGGCCCCCAGTAGAAATTTCATAACTCAGATTCAAATCTTACATTTCTGCTCAACATTTGGTGTGCCTGCCAAGTTTTGCTGCTCTGTCTTTCTCTTTGAATACCCCCGAGGTGTTCTGTTGGATTCTAGTCAGGCGATTGTCTTCACTCTGTCTTTCTTCTTTAGAGACGCTTGTGTGATTTAGACGGATCGTTGTCATGCCGGAATATCTGTCGTCTGCCGAGCTTCTGCAGACTGACGGTCGTCTCAGCAAATTTATCTTTCTTGGTCTCATTTGACCAAAGAACATTCCCCCAATAATCATCAGGCTTTCATTCACGTTCTTTA